TCTAGAGTTTCGAGAAAAAGGTTTAGAATTTGGTGTAAGAATGCCCTTCCAACCTGAATGAATTTGCTGAATAAGGAGTCAGATGTTTTCTCTTTCTGTATTCGTTTGAAGCCGTGATTTTGAAGTTGAACTTCCGAGGTTTTAGTAAATCGCATTTGTTTTAGTTGGTTTACAGTTGATCTAGTGTTTCTCTTAGTAGTAAATATGGCTCTTGCCAAATCAAACAAACACAGTGCTATTTTCAAATCAAAAGTAATTCAGTTTGATAAAGAAAATGGAAATCTTGCTGCAGCAAGGATGTTTGGTGTTGGTGAAAGCTCCATATGTGAGTGGCAGAAAAATGAAATCGCAATAATTAATATGTCAAAGAATAAATACGGTTACCGTAAAGGTGTAACAAAATGGCTTATCTCAGGAAACGATGTTACGAACTGGGTTCTAGAAGATCGCCAGGATGCGTTCTTTGTAAAAAGAAACAGAGTGTATTTACCTTAAAGTGAGGGGAAAAAATGCAAAAGACAATAAAAACTTTAGAGCAACTTTAAGTTGGTGTAGTCGGTTTATGGCACGAAATAATTTAGATCTATGATCAAAAACAAAAATTTTGCAAATGTTTCCGAAAGATTGCACAACAAATTGATAAGGTAGTTTCTCTGTCCTTTCTGCATGCTTCCGTGGCGTAACGGTAGATGGAAATATAATGTTACGACAAAGGGAAGGTAGGGAACATCATAAGTATTAAGATTTGCATAGGAATCTATGCCCGAAAATGTCAGGGGTAAGTGGTAGCAGAGGTAGAAGATGGGAAAAGAAACAGGAGTGGTTAATTTGAAACATTTATTGCACATGAATACAAATGGTGTACGACAGCTTGAAGGTTACAAGAGATGCTCGAAGTTTGTACCATCAGACGCCAAACACGCCTGACACCGACGGACCATTTATTGTCGGAGATGCTCAAACACACCGGAAGTTTGTAACAAGTGACGGAGGACGCGGGCACTGTCCTTTTACCATTAGGTTAATCGGTATAGCACCACGTCCACCCCTGTCTAGAGACAACACCAAAAAGAGGAGATCTACACATGAGAGCCCCCCGGCGCCGAAGCCCAACGTCGGATCCAGGCCCCCGTACCGTTCACTACCCAAAGAGCCACTGGGAATTTATTAAAAATCAAATAAAAATTACATGTCTAAACAAGGGGTTAATAATGACAAAAGAAATAATAAACATAAATATTATATGAGATAATATTAAATATGCTTAGCTGCACAGGCGAGTCTTGCCACGAGACATAACAAGATCGTGATACGTGACACTTTTGATGGCTTCCCACAAAAAGAAATCAAGGCTCGATAAATCCGGTGAGCGTGGGGGCCAGAGAACTGGTCCACCATGTCCAATCCACCGATGCGGGAATGATCTGTTCAAATGGCTACGAACATCTAGTCCAGAATGAGCAGGGGTCCCATCATTTTGAAATCACATGTTGCGCCTCACATTTGGTGGAACATCATCAAGCAAATCTCGAAGAACCTGCTCCAGAAAGGGCATTCAAATGGTCCGTTGGTGTCAGACATGTTTGGCGTCTGATGGTGCAAACTTCGAGCACCTGTTGTAACATTCAAGGTGTCGTACACCATTTGTATTCATGTCCAATAAATGTTTAAAATGAATCACTTTATCCCATCTTCTACCTCTGTTACCACTGACTCCTGACATTTCCGGGTATAGGTTCCTATGCAATTCTTAATCCCTACCTCCCCTAGAAGTTTGTCGCAACATTTACGGTACACCCTGTATACCAATTTTATGCATTTGATCCATACATTTTATAATACGTTCTATTTACGTCTCAAAACAAAAGGCCTCTTGTACGGGCTCCTTTTTATATCTGGTGGAATCCGTGTCATCTGCTGTTGCCTATTTCCTCCCCGCAGGAGATAAGTACTGACATGTATGTCCAATGGGCAATAATTCGCGCCAGTTACTTTCAAAAGTTGGGTACCATAATATCTTTATACCTACACTAGAAGCATGCATGACAGAGTATTTTGCTTCTTGAAGAAGAGAGACTTAAAATATATTCTTTGGAAATACCAAAGTCATTTCTCTGTATAACTACAAATAAAACTTTTCTGCATAACTAACGCCAGTCTGAGGCTGAATTTTTCCTGAATTTAAAGTTTAATTTAAAATTATCACTTTTCTATAATTTTCCGTGTTAAGTGTTCTATAGCTGAAAACGAAATGGCAAATATTCTTCAATTCAAGCTTATTTTCGAAAGAAGAAAGAGTAGCCAGAATTGAGAAAAGGAACTTTAAAAGGAATTTTTTCGATATCATTTTACTGCGGCTGGAAAATATTTTTTTTTATCAAATAGTTATAGCAAAAGAATAGTGTTGTTTTTTTAAAATAGTTCCGTCGTCATGAGACTGTAAGCAAACATTATTTTTATCGGAAATTTGGAACAATATTGTTCTGCCGATAAAAGGGTTCCTTCTTTGGATTTCTTTTCACTATAACTGTGATTTTTTTATTTCTTTATTTGACCTAAAGTCCTTCGGTTTTTATATGGATTTATTGTAAAAATATATCGCCAACCTGGCGCTTTAGAGAGTTTCTTTTAAAATCCTAACTTGATGGCAACAATGGGCAATTCATTTTTTGGAGAACAATTTAAAATATCTTTACAAACTTACTTCAGTTACCAAAAGAGAAAAGCGAAGGCAGAAAAATACAGTAATTTCAAAGAAAAAGGCTAAGATGATGTTTAGTGCGTTGTTTTATCTTCTATGGACACTGTCATGAGTTAGTATTAAGTTAAGGAATTACCACTTTCATTAAATTATGTAAATAGATGGTTAGCTTATTTATTCAATTCAAGTGCTTTGTGCTTAACATCTGCTGAATACAGTTTAATACAGTTGCATTCTGCGGGTTCGTAGAGATTTCCTCAAATAAGTATATCCAGATGAACTGTAGGAAACTGGATATTTACTGAAACTATAGATATACATTACGTAATAACATTTAATACAAAATAATAAACATCTAAAAGTACAATAATTAAAATTTGAAAGGTTTCAGATTTTAACGATAGCCCCAAAGAGTTTGTTAAGGTATTTTACGCTGTCACTGAGTTTGCAGCTACCAGTCTGTTGTTACACTCACTCCTACTAATCCTTTTTTTTTTTTTAGCATTATTATTAAACACCATTTTCTTCTCACTTACAGTATACATTTAGAATTCCTGATGCAGCGTTAAGTGTTAGCCTAATTTTCGTCATATGAATGTTCAGTTTTCTTACCAAGATTGCTTTACAAAACTTTTTCTTGCCTTGCTTGCAATTGCTTGATAAAATTTTGTGATGCCGTCTGAGAAACTGCAGCGTCCGAAGTCCATCAATCATGTTTAACACATATGCACATAACATGATTCTATATTTTAGAAAAACAATATTAAACAATATTTTAAAATTTCTATAATTACTATCACATGAAAGTTACGAATTTCTTAGTGTGATAGCATAAAACTTCGAATACCTGCCTGCTTATATGATTGTCATCGTAATTTTAAAAATTTGCCGAGCATACCATGAAACTTCGTAACATATTGTGGGGCCCACCAGCGGCTGAGCGGTAAAGTCGCTGAACGCTGGTAGTTCGGTCCGAGGTTCGAATCCCGCGAACGGGCTGGCTGCCTGGGCGTTTACATGGTTTTTCCCACGTGTAACGTGTATACGAGCCAGTTTCCCTTAGAAAGTCCTCCACGAAGGCATTCCTCCCCTTAGGCAGACAGCCCTCGAGGCTTTGTCATAATCACACACACATATTGTGCTAATGTACATGAACATTTCCCAACAAATCGTATTAAGATCTGCAATCCTTCGTTAGTTGCTATCTGCATGTTGTCTTTATCTCCATCCTCCCCATCTTCCTCCTCGTCTTTCTTCTTTCCCAGTACATGTCCCATTATTTCGTTGTCATCTTGAGAGAGTGAGCCGGGAATATAATTGTTTACGTCCAACCTAAGAATGTCACTTCTCTTCAATCCGAATATGTAAGTAAATCCAAGATGTCGACAAAGGCATTGGATGGATTCAAAGCCAAAAGACTTATAAACAAGATCATAACCACAATTTGTATCAAAGTCGACGTAAAGTAATATTCTTTAAGTTTTTCCAGGCCAGAGTGAAATCGAGTATGACGTCCTTTAAGTGTGAATAGTTTCTGAAAACCATGGACACTTAATATAGTTCATACTTCGACGCATAAAAGTTGACCGGTAGATTATCTTTACATTCTGGATAATTCATTGGTTGGATAAGGCTTGTTACTTTGGGTGGCAGGAGCACAATCCAAATGTTTACCAAATTTAAGTGTTCAGATTGTTAGTCCATTACATGCTTTTCTCATCACGTAGGCCTGAATTTCGGTTTTAAATTTGGACTTCCCAAAGGGTCGTTATCTTAATACTGTCGGTTACGAGAGATCTTATTGTATTTATTATTTGATTTTTATATCAATCTTATACCATCAATTTCCGCCACAAAGCCATTAGTCGTATAACTCATGTAGATCTGATTGTATATTAAATAATATTATTAGTCCAAAGGGGCATTAGATTCAAAGAGCTATTAGTCTCAAAACAGCATTTGGCGTCGTTTCACTCTATGCGTTGATTCACTTTTCGAACTGTTGCCACCAAATATTATCGCCCTGTATTATGTTTAAAGGAACTAAATAATAGAGGAATGGGTATGAAAATGCATGAATGTTTCTTGCATTGTGAAAATACAACGGTACCCTAAGGCCATCCGATTTTGAATAACGTAGTCTTCCAACCAAACATGGGCGCCTGGAAGCCCGAATTTTGAATTTCGAATTTGTTTTATTATCAATTTAAAATTTTGTAAATCTTTATAGAATTTTTGCTTAGAAAACTCAACGATTTCAAAGCGAGCAATTGCAACACTGTACGGGAAAAAAAAAAAAAAAAAAAAAAAAAAAAAGAAAGAAAAAAAAAAAACTTTTATCTCCAGCGCGCGAGACTGTGTATCGGAAATTCTATAAGGTGTGCGATTTTTAAATAGTTTGTAATATTGCTGTTGAACTGCCACGACATAAAACGTAACACATACGACATAAAAATTTTCAAATTTTCGAATTTTCAATTTTGGGCTAGAAAAATAAAGTAGACTCAGACGATTCCAAAAATATATAATTTATGCATGTTTCGAAATTTTAAAAGGCCGAAATCTCTCATTTAAAATGTAAACAAGCACTGGCACGCCCACAAGTTTAAAGGGACAGATGTTTTAAATTCCATTATCGCTTGCTCATACAGATGTTTTTATTACTTCCTTGGTCAGAATATGATTCTTTGAAAGGCATTTGGCAACACGTTTTTAAATTGGCTTATTCACTAAGCTGTGTTGTGGATAATTGTCGAATTTCCTGTATTTACAACTTGGCTTTGTTTATTTTGTGTTTCGCTATTCTTTTCGTTCTTTTTCATTTAAATTCGTGCTTTCTGTGTTTATTTTTGATTGTTTTATTGTGTTATGTTAGTGAATAAAAGTTTTAAATAAGGAAATGCCGAGAAAAAAATCATTCGGAAAGAGAAAATATATCGGAAATCAACATATATATGTGAAAGATGTTACCCATAATGTAAGTAAGTCTCCTCTAAATATTAGTGCATCTGAGATATGAGTGCAAGTATAATAAATAAATATGAGTAAAGATGATTATGGTATAAATATGATGATATAAATATGAGTGCAAGATGATTATGGTGCAGGAAAATATTAAAATGATATTTTTTATAAATTATTAGAGTTTAAATGTTTTTTTTTTTTTCCTCAAAATGTGTTTTTCTTAACTTTCGGTACATTTTTCTTGAAAACTATTCGACCTGGAAGGTTCTAATTTTACATAGTTGTTTATCATTACTATTTCTTTGAAACTATGCAGGATATAAAATTTACGAGCATTAGTATAGGATATATTAACAATTTAATACTAATTTTTTTGTGATTTTTCAAAGCATTTTACTAATTTGTTTTTAATATTTTTCTTTTTAAGTAAAATGTAAAATACTGCTTATTATTCTTAAATGATGTTGTTTTTAACTACCATGCACGATTTGAGGACGATTGGTGCAGTACATTTTAAGACTTTTTAAGAAAAGTGTACCGAACTAGCACATTGTCAGAAGAGATTCGTCAAAGGTAAGTGAAATAAAACAACTGGTTTTTAAAAATATTAGGCATTTAATATATATTTTATGTGTTTTCTGTAATCTGTAATCTATGCATTTTAAATGAAAAAAAAAAAAAAAAGAATCAAGTGTATAAGTTTATTTTGAGAAAAGTTATACCTTAATAACTTTCGTCTCGAAATAGTTGCATTTTGCCAGTCGACATGTCTCATGTTCCTTAAGTGCAAAGAACATGCTATTTATTAAATAAAGGTAACATACAAAACGTTAAAAAACGTCCTTTTTGGGCGTAATATAAAATCTGAAAGCTTTTCAGATTTTTTTTTTTTTAATTGCCTTACAAAAACCATGATCGCTTTAATAAAATAACTGATTAAAATGTTTGTTTCCCAGAAACTTCTACTTTTACTGAATTTATATTTAAAGCAATTTACATATTAGTGCGCCTTATAATAAAAGCATTAATAATTCAATTAGGCTTTCATTTTTCTGCTATTGTATAGCATTTACAGTACTTGGTTTGTTTTATGAAATAACTTTTTTTATTTCCTTAATTATTTTAGTGACTGAAAATGCTTAAAAAAAAAATAAACCTTTCAGAAATTTATTCAACCCATAAAATGATTTCCGTTCTTTTTTTCCCCCTAAATATCAAAGGCGAAAACTAGTTTCGCATTTATTTGCATGTAAATTTATAACGACATTCTTTGTTTGCAAAACGAAAGCATTGTCAAGGGAAATAAATTGCGCTAATATTATCTCTTGGAAATTATTGCTTTGTATTTTATTCTTCCAGATGCTTAGTATCGGGCTGAAATTACTTTATTTATCGTGAAAATAAACACTAATGGGAAATCTGATTTCTTCATTAAAAATATGCAAATTTTGTTTTTCTATATGAACTAAAGTCTGTTTTTATTTTTAAAAATAAATCAGCTTTCAGGGGTTTTAGCTCGAATGCATATTCGGAATTGGTTATTAATTTCTAAAAATAATCTGGCAATCTGATCCCTGACATATGAGCTTAACATCTGAAAATTATCAAAATCTACAATGTTTTGTGTATAATCAACGTTTTGTGTATAAAATCTGCAACTTTTCGTGCCTTGGTTCACACGATGGCTTAGACATTACAATTATCTTAGTCACAAAGTATAAAAGTCATTGGATTCGTTCACACTTGTACACTACTCAAAAAAAGGGGTGGACAGTTTTTCATGTCTGTAAAGCGCAACATAGGATATGTTGCGCTTTCCAGCCCATATATAGCATTGTTCTATATATAGCATTGTTCCAGCGCATATATAGCATTGTTCCAATATATGTATTTTGACACAAAATCGGACTTTTTCTGAAATAACATACCAATTTGTTTCCCTATTTCAATTCTACGACTCGGTAGAAGCGCTGTGACTTTTTTTTTTTTTCCGATCCTGCGCAATGGAAGGAAAAGAAAAATAGGTTGCCATACATTAAGAAGTTCGCCAAGTTAATTATTCTTGGCGGAAATTGAAAAAATGCGCCAACTTAAATTTTTAAATTTCTCCGTAAATTCCACACCAAATTTTACAAAATTTAATCTTTAGACATAATTTTAGTCGTCGAATCGAAATATTGAAAAAATTGGTATGTTATTTCAGAAAAAGTTGGATTTTGTGTCAAAATACCTATGTTAGAACAAAGCTATATATAAATCTAATAACAATTATAATAAAAATATAATATAAAGAACATTATTTGAAAGAAGAAACGATCGTGCCTTTTTTCCCCCTCACGCACTATGTAAAAATGGAAATGAAAATAGGTTGCCACATATTAAGAAGTTCGCCAAGTGAACTATTTTTGGCGCAACCTGAATAAAAAGCGCCAACATAAATTGTTGAATTTCTCCGTAAATTTCCCACCAAATTTTACAAAATTTAATATTTAAGCATAAATTGAGTCGTAGAATCGAAATATGTAAAACATTTGGTATGCTATTTCAGAAAAAGTCCAATTTTGTGTCAAAATATCTATGTTAGACTAGTGCTATATATAAATCTAATATATATCCTAAGTTGCGCTTTCGAGACATGAAGAACGCAATTTGAATTTCTTCAGTTGACCCACTAGAACGGGAGATACGTAACTGCCCCTCCCCCCTTTTTTTTTGTACATAGACCATGGGTGTAAGCAGAATTTCGTGGCTAATGTTCCAATTTTTTATGTTTTTGCCAAGATTGCATGAAAATCGTCCACTCACAACACAGTAAGCAAGACCTGTATACACGTACACGCATGCACAGATTTACCTTTCCCTGACTGGCTGTGGATAAGACCCTATTCGAGAACTGTGAACGAAACGCCTTACGTCTACTGTGATACAGACATTGTGTGAACATAAGGAAAAGTACTTGCTGTGGTGAATACAAAAGTACTGCTACATTGCTAGGCAACTTTGTCTACGCTTGTGCAATAAAACGAAAATATAATGCTGTGTTCAAGAAGATATTCGCACTTGTATTCTCATTAGCTAAAAATATGAAACAGAATAATAAATTAATTGAATCCGCCGGATTGTCTCAAGATGATCCTGGCCGAATACCTGTCAGAAACAAATAATGTAACAATTTCCTTGTACAGTGAATCCTTTCCTGGCGACCATTTCTCTCTGGAGACAAACATGAATATTTTTGATAGCATAAAGAAAAGTCAGTATTGAATATCATCTGTCGAAGATAGCAATCTCCACAGAAGACCAAATGTATCTGGAATGTCTGCGATCATTATAGAAATGGTTCCTTGTATTTTTAAGGAGTGACACAAAAATATCCATCACATCTGACAAGATTTATTGCTATAAATTACACCTCCTTTAAATGGAATGTGGATAACATTAACTGTCGTGATCTAGATCCCATAATACGGTGATAGATTAAATCAGGGGTGCGTTGAAGAGGTTGCGCAAATCGCAGTCCAGCGTTACAAGGGTTACAATCGAGAAGACCAGCATTACAATCGAGAAGTCCAGCATTACAATCGAGAAGTCCAGCGTTACAATCGAGAAATCCAGCATTACAATCGAGAAGTCCAGCGTTACAATTGAGAAGTCCAGCGTTACAATCGAGAAGTCCAGCGTTACAGTCGAGAAGTCCAGCATTACAATCGAGAAGTCCAGCGTTACAATCGAGAAGTCCAGCGTTACAAGGGGCCCAAACAAAAAATTCGTAAAAGCATGTAAACATATCCTTTATCTTAAAAAGAAGATCCTAAAAAGTTCAGTGGATTTAAAAGTGGCGGATTTAAAAGTGGGAAGCCACTTCTAAATCCGCCATTGGATTAAATTTGTGTTTATACATTTAACCTAATGGCTATATATATATATAGATAATTGGCTTTTTTTCAAATTAGCTCTCGATTAAGAGATACAGTCAATCGGCACTATACACTATAATCTTTAAAGGACTTCTGTGGGGACTTCGACGATCCTAATTTTGATGATGTCAAACAAAAATATTGCTCTTTTTTCACAATTCAGGATGAGTTTCTAATCCTGAAATTCTGAAAATCAAAGAATCTCAAATTTCCTGCCCTGAGCCGGGGCTTTGTGTTCTTACGCCATCCAAGCATTTAAAGATTCTTCTAGCCACGGCGTACGTAAAAAGTCTAAAATCGTTGCCCATCTTCCTAATTTGTATATCAGAAAAGAAAATTGTCCTTTTCCCACATTTATAGATGAGTTTCGAACCGCGTTGATTCTGTGACCTTGACCTAGACGTCATCAGTATAGGCTTCATCAGGGCTTATTGGCGACGAGGTTTTCTTTACTTTGAAAATTTTAGCTTGAGAAATCTAGCGCGCTAAGAAAACAATCCAGAAATGCCAAATGTGACAAAGAATAAGAGAAACCAAAAGGAGTTTCTCCTGGCACAGCCAGTTTATATTTATGAGGGAAAAGGAAATCTGACATCTTCGACAACCAGAAATCCTAGCAGCGGCTAAACGTAATCAGTGGCCTAATGGAGCCAAAGAAGCGGAAAAAAACTGGAAATACTATTCTCCTGTTTTGCCTTGACTGCTTTCACTCTCACTCAGCATAAATAAATGTTAGGTTCCTTGGCAAAGTAGGGGCGCTGGAGGTCGAGTGTCTTTTGTTCTGTATGCAAATGTGGAATGTTCCTGAGATGAGTGAGAAGTGTGGTGGGAAGGAGTGTCGTCGGATTTCCTCGATCGAGGAGGACAAGAGCGCCTTCCGATCCATATTCCACTTGGATGAGGATTCTGCTCTGTGAGAAGCATGGGGGATTTTATTTAAATTCCATCGCGTTGTTGGGATTGTTTTCGATAAGCACAAAAGGTGGATGACTGTACAAAACGTTGGTGTCGCAAAATAGATAGTAATGTTTCTTTCATGGTGCGCTTATCTATTGTTTAGCATGTCGCTTATCCAATATATTAGAGATAAAAGCGA